CCCCCCCCGCGAAAGGAATTGTGTATTTCTGAAAGGAAGTTAGGTTCTACATTCGTTGCTAGTTAGTATACTCATCCACAGTAAACAACGTGTGTGTGTGTCTGGGGGGGGGGGTCCTCAAATTCTGGCAAACCAGATACTGGATGTCCAAAGGCGAGGCTCACACACTGAAATTCACGTTCTAACTTTTCTGTTCGAAAACATAAAAAGAATCAAACATAAAGGACTAAGTCAACTACTGTGAAGAGTAGACTGAAAAGATAAAGGTTTGACTGAATTTCTCCCCGAAATGAAAGGCGCCCCTTTGGAAGAAGAGTGCTAACCAGACTGAGAGGCACTTTGATTCAATGCGATGCCCCTTAGGTGTCTGCATCCCATGATGGGACAGGCTGAGGTCTTGGCCCAGCACAGGGAGCTTCCTGGGCAGGAACAGTCGATGCTCTACAATCCATGTGTGTGGTCAGGACAGCTCTCCAAAGACGGCCCCCATGGGGTGCTATATGTTACTTCCCCGGGTTTATAAACACAATATAAACGATCCCAAGGACTATGGTGTGGAAGACATTTGTAACCATGGTGATATCAAGGAGAAAAACAAAACAATGTTATTTTTTCCTAGTTCTGAACAGTGGTCAAATTATTAGGAGCCAAGGAAAGGAGGGGAAAACAAAGAAGACATTAAGAAAAGGGCAAGCCTTTGATAAAAGCGATGGCCATCTATAAGCAATAATATTGCCAAATGAAGCACCCAAAGGCCTCCACAATCTCTGAGGTCGCTGAAGTGCACTGATACGTGATGGCATGTCCTGGCTGGTTACTCAAGTGTCAGGAATACACCAAAAGTGTGACTTTCTTTCCAGGAACACCCGTGTGGAAGGTTACCTTCTGTGGTCATTACCTTCTAACAGGGACAGAGCCTCCAATGAAGGGTGGAGCCAGAGGCAAAATTCTCTGCTCCTCTCTGAATCTTTTGCTTAAAATAACTGCACTGCACAGAAAACGCTGAAGAATGACACCTCTAAAGCATTTCTGCAGGCTGCTTTATCCCAATTAAAATTACTGATCCCTTTGTGCTTTTAAAGATGTCACATTTTTATCTTAGTAAAAGTCAAATCAATTATTCCCAAAACACACGTAGAGCAGGAGAGCAGAGGGAGACTAATTCGCCCAGTATTTCAGAGGCTTGCTTGTTCTGTACTCTGTGGTAGCAGCTTTAATAAAATCCAGTTCCCAGCATGATAGCTCCATCCTGCCAGCATGGTTGGAGGGCTGTGATGTCACGGAGCTTTGGAGAATCCCTTTAACCACGATCAGAATTCTGAACCAGCTTTTTCAGATGAAGGGTAAAGAAAAGGAAGTGTGATTGGCAGATGGGAAGCTAATCGGTTTGTAAAAATTCTTCCCCGCTTCACAGGAGAGGCCGCTTTTCCAGGGTGGTTTGCTGTGCCCTACAGGCCATCTCCCCACTGAGAATTGCCTGGGGATGTGAACTTGTGAGGGGAATCATAAACCAGCCTGAATATGAAATTTGTCCTCAATACTGCACTTGTCAGAAAAGGAAGACCTAACCCACATATTTTAACAGCCTGGGGCTTTTCCCCTCTAATCACAACATCGTATTAATTATTTCGCTTTTAATGATGCACTAGTAGTCACTTCTACAAAATGTAGGCATGTTCAAATAAGACTCACTTAAAAACCTCTGAATTTAGTCCAGTTAGTGGTAAGCCTGCTAAATTAATGGTTAGATGTTTTTAAAAAGACATCAGCAAAATCAATCTTTACATTAGCAGAAAATTCTAAATTAGTTAAAACCATGCACAAAAAGCACCAGGAAGCCACAATATGAGACTCTTTCAAAGCAGGCTCTCAGGACTTATTTTATGAACACCTGCGAAAATGAAAAGGGTAAAAATACTTCATTTTTTCATTGTCTTCTAAACAAAGCAAGTCTATCTCAAGGGAGAAAGAATGTAATCCACGTGCACAATGCATCCGGATTAAAGAACATGGCAGAGTGAGACAAAGGACTTTAATATGCACATTACCATCTTTTCGTTGGTCAGAACGGAGGACTTGCCCGGCTGGTACTCGTAAATGCTTTTGGGCTCTGCACGGTATTTTCTTGTATCCACTTTCTTATCTGGGGGCTCCCAGTCGTTTCTGTAGAAAGAAAATCCTATTAGAGCTATTTTCATGAAAATTGGCATCCAACATGTTCTGACTTTGGCTGACTGTAGTCTAATCAAGGAATTTTTAAATCCAAAGCATAAAATCGGACTTGGTGCAAAGCATTTAGTTGTGCTGGTTCCCTTCTCAAACCAACCAGTTAAAGCTCTGTGTTTGCTTCACAAAAGGCCTCAGGTGTCCTGAGCTCAAAACCAGGCACCAGGAGGCAGAGAGAAGAGGAGGGAGGGAAGCAGCAGCAGCAACGCTTGCTTGGGAAAAATCCTTCACCTTGCTCTGCTCTCCTGAGCTCATCGTTCCCCAAATATGCCTGCACCTCCCACTCATGCTAGTGCAGGGAGAGAGAATGCAGGTCCTGGAGCCTGTCAGCTGTGGTTCTGGTCCCTGCGATGGGACTTGTTAGCTAGCAATACAGGCTGAGCACTTTACTTCTTGCTACTTTAGTTTCCTCATCAGAGAAATGGGGTTGTTGCAAGGATTAAATGAGAGAGTGCATATAAATCACCAGGTCCACAGTAACCACTCAGTAAATGCCATTTCCTATCATAAGCGTGTTGTTCCCCAGTCCATATCTACCCCAGTTATCACCCAAATCAAGGCCTTTGGTGCACAAACTTAACCTGACCCCGTGGTGGGTTTCAGAGGATGCAGGAATCCTCGGAAATTGTTTGCAAAATTTGTATGCATGTGCATTTGCATGGTGATTATATTTAGTTTTTCCTGCAAGGCTGTAAACCTCTTGAAGACAGGGACAATGACTTATATGTGTTTATAGTTCCCACAGCATCTGGTTCCATCTGCACACAGAATGCACCCAGTTTGATGAATGCACTTGTAAGGGACTTATAGGTATTCCCAGCCTTCCTTTCAAATTCATTATGAGACTCCTCAGGCAGATGCCACTTACGCCTGTGTAGGACTCTCAAAACAGCCATCCATTTGTCTACAAAGATGGAAAAGGAACAGGGTGTGAAACTGAGTATGTCTTTCAGAAAAAATAATTCACAAGAACCCAATGAAAGAATACTGGGTCATTCTGGGCAGGTGTTAAGAGATGACGAATGTCATCATTATGACCAATCCAAACCTTATGTCTCAATAATATCTGTTGCACAAATAAATTGACATTAAAAAGTGTGGCTTCATATTAAAATTATATTCTCTGCTTTGGGTTCCATCAGTGTACACAGAGAGTATAAAAACACATGACAAATCTTACAGCTAAGGTTTCTCTTGTGAAAAGGTAGAAAGTGATGATAGTTATAGTCAGTGTTAATTAACCCCATACCATGAGCCAGGCACTTAGAAATGTTATACGTATTATCTTGTCTTATCCTTGCAACATCACTTACAAATGTAAAATTTATCCCCATTTTACAGATAAGAACACTGAAACCCAGAAAGAAGAGTAAGTCCCTTCTAATACAGGGCAGAGCTGGGGTTCAAGATCAGGTCAGCCTGACTCCTGGCCCCAAGGCTGCCGCCCAGTGGCGAAAGGTGGTATCTGACTGGCAGACTGTAAGAGTCTCAAGTCACAGCTTTGGGGAGCAGGGAGCACTTACCTCTCGGGGCTTGATTTTAGTGAGGAAGAGCGAGCCGGGAGGGGAAGTGTGGCTGACCTCTTAACTACCTTCTCACCGTCAATGTAGCTCATCTCACTTTTTGAGCGAGGCACAGAAAGGGGAGATTTGGCTGGAGAAGAAAAGTGGGTACAAAAGACTTAAAACTGATGAAAATGAAAAACAGGATGTCTTCCCCTATCCGATGCTCCCCCTTCCTCCCCCACAACCAGGAAATTCTAAGTCACTTACTGTCTTCAGAAAAGGAGTAGCGAGGAGAGTACAGATCTGAATCATCATCTATTGAACAAAACAAAACGCAATCAGGAGAAATCGGCTGGGGTAGAAAGAGCGACGTGTCTTCCACTCCCACCATCCTGCACTGGCATCCACCACACCAGGGTCCCAGCGGAGAGGGAAGGAGCTAAGCAAGAGGAGCGAGGTCTGTAGAGCACCCCCACCCCAACACAACCTGCCGGCCGGAGGGTACGTTCATGTAGCCTGGGAGGTGACACCAAGAGAAGCATGGGGACAAGTAGCCAAAGGTCCTCCTCAAGAGAGTTTCCACAGTAGAGTTGGAACAAGGGGACCCAGCCTGGCTGAGCTGGCAGCAGGCGCTGAGACCCGTTCCTGGCTCAGCCTGAGTCTCTGATCGGGCCTGCGCATTCCTCGGAGTCCTCCAGGCCCGCTACTGAGTGGGATGGAGGCAGAGGTGTTTGCTAGCTCCCCACCTCAGCTGTAACCTGTTTATATGCTAAGGTTCCCTATACAATATGATTTGACAAACAGTTCTGCAGCTAAAAACAGTTTGAGAAAACCCTCATAATCATGTTTTGATTCCACCTCAACCTGGTGCTTTCCTTCCTTGGAGCACAACACACCCATGGCAGGTGCGGCGGTGTGATCTGCTCTGCAGAGGTACTGCTTGGGGTGTCTAAACTGCGGCTCTGGAACAAGTCAGACTCACAGGGGTCTCTGTGGTGTGAGACGGCCTTCCAAGGGCACGACCCACATTCCTACAGAAGCTGAGCACTGAGCTCTGAGACTTGGGAACCAATATAAGATCTGAACCCTCGTGGACCTGGCTGCATTGCACTAAATCTGAGACCACAGGTGCACTTACAGGACAGATTTCACAATTGGGGGTGTCCTGAAAATGTAGGGTATTTGGTCATTATACCTGCGACGACCCCTCCAAAGTGTTAGGTTTAAACAGTTGGCCTTTCCCATTTTCTAAGAGCCTGCTAACCCAGATTCAGAATTCATGAATGTGGGCTGAAGACCCAACACCTTTCCCTAAAATCTGTAGCAACTTTAACAAAACACATGAACTAACCTGAAAAGACAAGTCAAAGAATCCAATATATGTTAATGACTAAGTGTTCTTCAAGTGCTTGTCTCTATAGAAACCATTTTTAGTTTCAGCAGTAAAGGTCAGGACGTTTTGTGCAATGTGAATTAAGCTAACACTGCTGTATTGTGAGTAAAGTATTATGCAAAGACAGCCTCTCTATCACCCCTTCTTACTCCTTTCTCCTCTCCCCATTTTTATCTGTCCCAGGTCTCCCCGCCACTTGAATAAAGAAAAGTCATCAGGTACCAAGTTATTTTCCCCCTCCCTCCTCGACCCCCCCTTTTGCTTAAGGACAGGATTAGTCAACATCAAAGTTGAACAGGGCTTAACTTCTTCTACCAACACAGTCAAGCCTTTCCCTGCTGTAGACTGAGAATGTAAGCTTATTTAACTTCTGAAAATAGGGCAGAAGAGATCAAATGGGATCCGGAAATACATATTTTGAAGTATTGCTCTGAAGAATTTTGTATTGTCTGTTTTGTTTTAAATGGAATTATTGTGCTGATAAAATGCTACAATATCAAAGAAAACTAAAAATCCACTTTGATTGCAGGAATTTGATTGGAAAAATAATGCCTGTCAAATAAAAAATTAGCTTCGTTGGGAACCAATGTAAGTAGTGCTTAAAATCCAGCCCATCATTTTAGCTCAATATCCTGTATCTTTGAACCATAGAGAAATTACACCTTATCTGTGGATGGTAAGGGGAGGGTTAATTTCCATTACCTGTTCTTGAGGTAAGAAGCAAATGGGGAAGAAAAAAGCTTTTAAAGATCCAAAGAATTTTTTTTAAAAGCCTGAGCTCTTTAAAAATATTTTCTCCCTAGAGTTTCTAATATGGATTTCTATATTTTTTCAAAAAAATTTTCTATATTTTTTCAAAAAAATTTTAATCCTCACCAGAGGATATGTTTAGAGAGAGGAAGAGAGAGGGAGTGAAAGAGAGAAACATCACTCAGTTGACTCACATACATGCCCCGACTGGGGACTGAACCCACAATGTAGATATGGAACCCACAATCTTTTGGTGTATAGAACAATACTCCAAGTAACTGAGCAACGCAGCCAGGGTGAAAAGACTTGTTAAAAACATGAGAAACAGTTCTTATAAGATGAAAAAAATAGCTTGGAGAGTTAACAATTTATGTATTTTGAAAAGCAGAAGTAGGAAAGATGGGAGGGTGAAGGCAACAGAGGAAATGACTGACTGACTGTTCTTGAAGCTGTTTCTTATTTGGTGCAGGTGGGAAAAGAAACCTCAGCCATCCCAGGCTAACCCAGGGCAGGGGTGGAACAAGATTTTCATTTCTCACAGTGCCCGTGGGACCCGAGTCTGGCATGTGGGTTCAGTTCATCAAACTTTTAAGAGGGCAAACTGAAGTTGTATGGATTCAGCTGAACATCCAGGGTATATATAATTTATTCTTTCAATTTTTTATGTTTGTCTTGCAAACCTAGCGGAAGAAAATTTTACCTGTGCTTATGAGTAAAAATAATAGCAGTTCCCATTATTAAGTGCCTAATAGTAGCTGGTAATTTACTAATATCATCTCAATCTTTGTAAAAACTCTAGGAAATACATTAATATATCATTTACAGACAAGGAAATTAAGGCCTAGGGAGGTTAAGAAAATGTGCCCTTAGCTACAAAAGACAAAGCAAGAATGGAGTCCAGGGCCTTCTGACTCCACTCCCCTGTGCCGCCTCTAAGCCCTGTGGTAGGGATGGGTGCTTTGTTCTACATTCTCCCACCCTAGCTGCCCAATCCTGGGGGGAAATGTGGCTACCCCATTATAATTTATATTATGCAAGAGACAGGGGATGGTATTGTTCTGCAACTCAAGCCCTGCGCTGCAGCGCTGGCAGGACTGCCTCCAGCCCTTGAGGCCTTTACTCTGCTTTTCTGCATCATCGGCTCCCTGGTGAGGCTTAAGCAAGTTTTCTGAGTTACCCCACCACACTAAGAGTTTTCCTCCTGCGCTCTCCAGGGACAGCGGGTAAAACTGAGTCACTCTTGCTACATCTCCCACTTGCTGCTTCCTGCTCTCCACTCCTGGCAGGCTAAGTCCACACTGGGGCACAGGAGCATGAAGTCAGGAATGCCAATGAATGGGAAAACTGGGTGTAAGGACACCCCTCTGTTTTTCTATACACTAGAGTTAGGCAAACGGAGTGTGTGTGTGAGAGAGAGAAAGAGAGAGAGAGATTGACCATAGTTAAGATACATTCAATAAAACATTTCTCAAGTTGTCCATGAACATGGACATTGTATTGTCAGTGTCTGAAATCCTGCCTTTACTCTTTCTCCAGGGTTTTTAAAACAATGCCGTAGTGGGCTCCCCTGAGCCAAGATTGTGTGATTCTTGCTCACGGTGCAGCCACATGCTGATCGTGCCCCTCAAAGCAGCAAATGTCGAACCTTGGCAGCAACTCTCAGAACTTCCTGTGCCAGGGACTTACAGGAAGCTCTACCACTGAGCAGGATTCACTTGGGGTGAACAGCTCACTCCAGGGCCCAAGGACCCTGCAGGGCTCTGATGTTCACACACCAACGGCTCCACTCTGGGTTTTGGCAATCTGTCCTAGAGGCACATCTGGGAACAGCTACTCTTTCAAAACTGCCAGGAGGCACATAATTGCCTTTTCAACCACAGTGACTTTAAAAATGAACCTCTAAAAGTAGGCTTTAAAAAAAAAATTAATGACATCTTAAAGATGCTGGAAAAAGTGCCTGGTTGAGAATGATTGTTCTATAAAAACTATGTAATTGACCAAAATGGGATCATGGGCAAAAAGCAGCATTTACATAATCACTCGCCTATATCAATTAAATTTTAATTTAATGCATTTCTTAGGCCTTGAAAGTTCAAATTATTTTTCAATATCAACAGCTCATTTTGATTTAATACAATCTTTTTCCACTGCTCAAATTAATTCTTTCTCCTACTTTATCCCACACACTTAGGAAGAGAGAGGATAAGTGGGTCAAGATAGAGGACACACACCACGAACAAAAATATTCAAAGAAAAAGAGAGACCTATACGGAGGTGACAAAGTCGGAGAAAGAA